AGAATCATGCCGAGCTGCTGGCCTTGAGGAACAAAAGAACATCATCTGCAAAGAAAATGTGGGACAAAATAGGGCAAGTCCTTTTCATTCGAAGGCCTGATATAACCTTGTTCTGAATACCCCAAGTGATTAATTTAGACAAAATTTTAGTTACAAGAATGAAAAGGTAGGAAAATAAGGGGTCGCCTTGTCGAAGCCCACATGAAGGAGTGAAGGAAGCTCTATTCTCGCCATTCGCAACAACGGAGAATTGAATTGTAGTGACACGGTCCATCACCCAGCGGATCCAAGTGTCATGAAAGCCCAATCTTTCGAGCACTGCTTTGAGGAAGTCCCATTGAATGCGATCATAAGCCTTATTAAAGTCTAATTTCAAGGCCAGATAAGCATGCCTACCACCTTTTTTTTGCCTCAAAAAATAAAACCCCTCATGTGTTATCAAGATGCTGTCTTGAATGAGCCTACCGGGTATAAAGGCCGCTTGTTGTGGTGAGATAAGCTTGGTGAGAGAAACCTTGAGCCTGTTAGCCAAGATTTTGGTAATGATCTTCATTTTGAAGTTGCAGAGGCTGATAGGTCGGTACTGGGATAGCTTCTCTGGAGCAGTTATTTTTGGAATCAACACCAAGATGGTATGGTTCCACTCTCTAGGAACATGTCCCCCAAGGAAAAAACTTTTGATGGCCAAACACACTTCTAGGCCCACAATTTCCCAGTATTTTTTTATACAAGATGTCTTGAAAACCATTAGGTCCAAGGGCCTTAAGCGGGCCGAGGTGAAAGGCACGCAGGTTCAGGGCTAAATAGACTACTCCAAGAGCACTCATCCATAAACCGGTTACTGGTACAAATAACATAAAGAAATGTAACTAACGTTTATTGGAAAAAGCAACCCCAAAGATTTGGGACCAAAAGCGGTTAGCGGTAACCATTGAATAAGGTTCTTCGGCTTGAGTTGGGTTAAAAGCACGGAATGTATTTGCACCATCACCATCTTCAAATAAAGTATTTTCTGCAGTAGCACCATGAATAGTGCATAACAAAGCCGCACCTAATACACCTGCAATTCCCATTATATGAAATGAGTTCAACGTCCAATTATGAAATCCTTGAAAAAAGAGGATGAATCGAAATATAGCTGCTATGCCAAAGCTAGGCGCAAAGAACCAACCAGATTGACCTAGTGGATAAATCAGGAATACAGAAACAAAAACAGCAATTGGGCCGGAGAATGCAATTGCATTATAAGGTCGTAATTAAACAGATCGAGCAAGTTCGAATTGACATAACATGAAACCTATTAGTTTGAAAGCGCCATGGAGAGCTGTTTTGATCTCCGCATTAGTGACTGGTTTAACAAGATTCGCATTCATTTTACTAGAGACAACCGTTGTGACCGAGGACAGAATGTCATTGAAATCCCGGTCAGCAGCGGCTTGGAAAGAGCTTGAAAATAAGTTACAAGATGCTCATTAATCTCTTCCTCCATCTCTAAAACTATCCCAGCCTCCGTCTTGAGTGTGGTTAATTGGTTCCTTTGGCATCTTTGAATCATTGTTGCATGGAAAAAAAAAGAGTTCCTATTTTCATATTTGACCCAATTTACCCTGGAACGGTGGCGTTGGTACATTTCTTCGCGTTCTAGAGCAGTTTCAAGATCTTGCTGCAACTCCCGGTTTTTGCCATTCTGTCATCTAAATATGGGCATGCTTGGATAGCTTAAATTTCCATATTCAAATTCTTAATCTTAACCCGATTATCCCCGAACTTGTACTTGCCCCAAGAGGAAAGTGCGTGGCTACATCTTGTCAGTTTTTGAGATAGATGCACCATAGGTGGTCCCGAAAAACCTTCAACCCAAGATGAGGTTATAATTTCGGCACACTCACCGTGAGTTGTCCACATTGATTCGAACTTGAAGATACGCGGAATTTTTTTGGGAGGAATATGACAGTGTAGTAGCAAGGGGCAATGGTCGGAGCCTATAAGGGCTTCATGGAACACCTGAGCAGAGGGAAACAATTGTCGCCATTCCACTGTAGCCATTGTTTTATCTAGCCACTCCCTAATGTTAGCGTCCCCTCCTTGGTTATTGGTCCAAGTGTATGGGGCTCATTTGAATTCAAGGTCCATTAGTTCACAATTTGCCACGAAATTTTGGAAAAATTGCATCCGGACTCGATTACCTCCCCTCAAGCCTTGCTTTTCCCATGACCATCCAATTTCGTTGAAGTCCCCCAAATAGAGCCAGGGATATCCATTTGTCTCTGCCATATTTTGAAGATTGTTCCAGAAAATTTTCCTATCATTCCAGCGAGGAGGTATGTACACAAAAGTAACCAGCCAAGCAATAGCAGCTCCCGTTGTTGTGAGGACACATCGAAATAGATTCTGAGCTTTTGCCCTAACCTGGAGGTCGACTTCGTCAGTCCACCATAGTGCTAATCCTCCCGAGATACCCATAGGATCCACAAAGTAGAAATAAGAGAAGTGGAGACGTCTCCTAATCTTTTCAATTAAAAATTGTTTATTCTTGGTTTCCATAAGAAACATTATTGTAGGGTGATGGGTTTGACATAACCCTCAGAGGATCTGGATTTTCAGAGGTCGCCCAAGCCCCTGACAGTTCCAGCTGATGATCAACATCGGTCATGTGGCGATTTAGGGCTCGCCACCATAGCCAATTCAGAGGGTTTAGAATCATTTTCAGGGAAAGTACTAGCAATTTGTAAGAGACAATCCTCCTCGACAACATTAAACGAAGAAAGTAGAAACAAACAAGTCTGGCCTACCACGTCTTGGATGGTCACCTCCACCAGAGCCGAGCCTTTCAAAATATCCCCCTGCCGACCTCTAGGTCGATCCCTTTTGACCTTCTTGTTAGTCACACCAGCTGGGGGAATATATGTGGAACTGAGTGTTGGTTGGAATTGGGTCTAATCTGGAGCTACCAGTAAAGATAGTGAAGTTCCCACCTTCCAGATTTTGCTGCGAAACAGTGCTTGGTCTTCATCGCCAGAAACCTTTCTTTTAAGGGACAAGTGTTGGAGTGCCTCTGTTAACCCCCCTTCTGGGACTTAGGTAATGCATAAGAGAGGTATTTCATTAGATGGGTTAGATGGTAACAAGGTTTGAGGAAGTGGGCTGTTCCTAGTAGAAGGTGAGGGCTCCTGGCCAGGGCCCATATCCAAAGCTTAAGAGGGCTCAGAGTAGTTTGGGCTGTCAGGTGGTTCTATAACAAAATAAGTTGAGACCTTAACAGAGTCCACAGTCACATTAGTAGTAACACTAGGGATTGGAGGAAGGCCCATTCCAGGGTTTGGTCCACTATCTTTGTGAAGGGCCACAGGAATTAAAAACCTTTCTTGGCCCATCGGCTCCAGAAGAGGGGACGTGAGGGCAACAGAAGTGTTGGTAGAAGCATGCTTCTGTCCACCATCTTTCTACAGGGTAATGGGATCAGAGCCTCCACGTGGCATTCTAGGGGTAGTGGTAGTCTGATTCTGATCTTGGGATACGGTGGTGCAAATCTCTGTTGCAGTACGATTTTGTGATCGTGGTTGTGGTTGTACCAACAAACCAGGCTGCTCTGTTCCATAATCCTCACGCTCCAGTGGAAAAGAAGGTTCCGATGCCTATAAGGTTTTCCGGCCTGAAAAGAGTGGGGCTAAACTTGCTTACAATGCATCCATTTTCTGGCGATAGTGCTCAGTAGGGAGTCCCATGCTTCCAGCCATGCTCGTTCTCAACTTAGGACCATAACCAGAGGAGGTGCCTTGTTCTTTAGAGACGAATTTATAGGTATTGCTCTCATGCCCCAATCTGCCACAGTCATAGCAGAAGTTTGATAACTTTTCGTATTTAAAGGATAGCCATGTATGAGGAATCCCCGAGCACCGTTGAAGCCATATTCCCCTGGGTAGCGGCTATTGTATGTCAATCTCCATCCGAAGCCGTAAGAAACTCCGATACAGTAACAGACCTTCTGTGTGGGCTTCCACTCGAACCAGTCTCCCAATTGTGTTGCCTAGGATCTCGCCATTTTGTTCGGTTAATTTTCGGATAGGGAGTCCGTGGACTTACACCCAAAATGGACTTCATTTGAAATCTAATTCCTCTACTGAGCATCCCGGTGAGACAGGTTAAAGCGCTAGGAACCACCCCATCACTGACTATGGGCTGTCACGGAGAACTCGGTGTCGGTCTTCCCCGTCACTGAACTGAAATAAGAAAATATTATTGGTCCAAGGTGAGATAGAGAGCTCGCCTCGAGTACGCCAAGCTGCTCGAACAATGTTTGCCACAACTGCTTTGTTAGGAGTTTTTGGGGCTAAGAGTTTTCCAATGAGGCACAGATTTGAGATGTCTTCACTTTCCCCATTGCCTTCCTCCAAGGACAACCCCTAGGCAATATGTGAAGAAGAGGGAGGTGGCGTCGGTGGAGGGGTAGAGGCCATGAGAACTAAGAGAGGGTAAGAAAAACTGGAAGAGAAGAGAAGATGAAAGATGACAGAAAAGGAGTCGAGGGGGTAACCGGAAAAGACACCAAAAAAATTCAAGGGGGTAGCCGAGAAAGACTCAGCTAGTACATAGGAAAACAAGAGCATTGGATGGACCGGAGAGGAAGAGCCCTTAGGCCAGAAACTCCCATTGAAGAGAGAGAAGCTCTCATTTTAGAGAAAGAAGAAAAAACAACGCACTCATTGTGGTGCATTGTTTCCGATAACCTCCTTTGACAACCACCTCTGGTCACTACCTACTACAACCAACATCACTGAATAGTCAATGACTATCTCTTGCATGAAACCACCTTCGGTGGGTAACAACAATTGGCGGCCACCACCTCCCACTGGTTCACCAACTCTCACTGTTTTTTTTTTTTTTTTTTCCTTTACTTTTAATTTGTTATTTATTTACTTTGCCCACATGAATTATTCTTGATCTCATAATCAAAAATGGGTCATGAACAGAAGCAGAACCCGAAACTTATTGACAGTATAAAAAGCAAATAATAGTAAACCTATTCAAATAAACAATTCCAAAAATATACTAAATAACATGAGTGATTATCAAAGTTGTTCCTTCCTTCAAATAGTTAAAACCGGTAATTGAATCAACATCACTTAAATGATTAAAAGCAAATCAGTTAACACCAAACATAGAGAAAAAAATCACAATGATGAACACAACTATTTGCCCACTGGCATCTGTAATTTCCCTTGAAATTTTCATCTTCTTTGTTGTCCCCTTATATAGTTCTTCAAGGCTACAAGGCAATGTATTTTCAATCAGAGCCAGCTTCCAAGGGGCAGAACTCATCGTTCTGCCATCCCCAAATGAAGTAAAAATGTCATCTCCAAACATTCCACCACCACCACCAAACCTTGAACCTCCTCTCATGCCACCAACACCTCTCATTCCTCCAAATGGGCTTGAATTCCCAAAAAACTCGGCAAAAATGTCATTTGCGTTTCGATGATTAAATCTAAACACTGTTGGACCATCTCCCGTTTGGAAGAATGTTGTGCTGCCGTGACCACCGAGTCCTCCGACATTGGGTGGTGGCACTTGGCCTTTGAGAACTTCTTCATCATACTGATCATATATTGCTCTCTTTTTGTGGATCACTTAGAACCTAAAGCAATGCAAAATAAATATCAAATTTGTAACATAATTTCTATTCTTCAATCGCACATTAACAAACATGTCCAAGACGAGAATCAAATTTTAATAAGTGAAAAATCAGGAAAGATCAGGCTATGCATTGTGAAACCTAATAGATCAAATATGAGAAATAGACCCAATATTACAAAATGGGTAATCCCAACAAGTCCTCAACATTGAGAGGAACTGTGAGTATTATAATTCCAAGTATGCAAAAAAAAAAAAAAATGAATACAAAATACGTTATCTCACTAATTTAATTGGATAACTAATCCTACACTAATTCATGAGATAATTAATCCTTTCACTATCAATTATGTTAATCAAACAAACCCTAAAATCTAAGCTACTCCAACTCAATTCGTGTTCATCACAAGTACTTTTGAGATTAACCAATAACAAGTTAAATTCAATCCATTACTCAACTTAAGCATTATACATAAATAAATAAAAAACACTCAATTAAAATTTGTTTGATTTTGACTCATAATGTGTTTAATAAACTTATACACTACACTACAAAGAAATCAATATACTTCAACTCAACTCAACTCAATTCGTTTGAGATAAAGCAAATACTTATTTTGAAATTCTTTAAATTATCAAATCAAATTAAACAATCTTTACAGCCTTAGGTATAATCCAAAATTAAACTCCTCTTTTGGTAAATTTATGTTTATAAATATTATATATATATATATATATATATATATAATTTAGTGTCTATTTTAGTTTTCAAAAACTTATAAACAATTTATAAAATTTATTTATTTATTTATTTATTTATTGATAAATAAATGGACTTTATTAGAAAAGTATCAAGATGATGCAAGGAATACAAAAACCACCCACAAAGGGCCAAACCAAACTATCTAAGTAAATCCTCCACAAAATCTACAAAAACCAAAACACTGGAATCAACTGAACCCGAAACCCAACTATGCCAAACCAGCAATAATGGACTCTCAAGCCAGGAAACGGAGCGGCACTCATTCTGAAAAACACGCATATTTCGCTCCAACCATACCAACCACATAAAACAATGAGAAGCAAGAACCCAAGCCTTCCGATGCCGCTTCCCCACCCTAGCCCCACCCCAACTTTAAACCACACCCAATATCGACCCCGGTTGCACCCAAACCATCCCAAACAAAGCCACAATAGAATTCCAAAGTCGAGACGCAACTGGGCAATGTAAAAGCAAGTGATCCACCGTTTCCCCATCCCTACAGCACATGTAACACCAATTAACTAGAACCTGCCCCCGCTGACGCAAGTTATCAATAGTCAAAATCTTTCCCAAAGCAACAGACCAAACAAAGAAAGCCACCTTGGAAAGTGAACCCGTCGCCCAAATGCTCTTTCAAGGAAACACTACCCCACTCCCCCCATCAAGCATACCATAAAAAAAAGACACTGAAAACACCCCTTTAGATCTTGAACAATCCCACACCAAAGAGTTCGCTCCATCCCCTCCATCCTTGACACCATACAAAATGCCCAACAAGTCCACCAATTGATCCAACTCCCAATCTTGCACATTACGACGAAGGTGAACATTCTAAGCAAACAACTGCTCTTGTCTAACTCTAATAGACTCCACCAACTCCTCCTCATCCGCAGCAATAGCATAAACCATAGGAAACATACTCGCCAAAGGCACCTCGCTACACCACCAATCCTGCCAAAAGCGAGTCTTATCCCCTATCCCCACCTTAATCCGAGTCTTAACCCAAAACTCCGTCCACCCTAGCCAAATCCCTTTCCACAACCCACGACCATGAGGATGGACCACTCCCTTTGAGCACCACCCCCCTCTGGCCACCCCATACTTCACCGCCACCACCCTCCTCCATAACCGCTCCCTCTCTATAGCAAAACGCCACAACCATTTCCCTAAAAGAGCCCGGTTAAAACCCACCAACCTCTTGACACCCAGGCCCCCTCTCTCCTTAGGAATACAAATCTTATCCCAAGCCACCAAATGATAATGAAAATCCTCTCCTCCACTACCCCACAAAAAATCTCGTTGCAACTTTTTTAACCGCCTAGCGACGCCATAAGAATCACATGCAACGACATAAAGTATATCAGGATACTAGAAAGGACACTCTTGAACAATATGAGCTGCCCTCTCTTAGACAAATACTGTCGCTTCCATCGTGCCAACCTTCGCTGCACTCTATCTACCACCCCATCCCAAACCCCTTTCGCCTTAAAGGTAGCTCCCAAAGGAAGCCCCAAATAGGAAACTGGTAACTATGCCACCTTATACCCCAGAATAGCCGCCAACACCAGAAGACAAACCACCTCGCCCACAGGAATTAATTCTAACTTGGCCAAATTAACTCGGAGCCCAAACACCGCTTCAAAGCACAGCAACACACATCGTAAATGTCCAATTTGATCTGCATCCGCATCACAAAAGATAAGTGCATCATCAGCATAAAAGAGATGATAAACCACCAGAGGAGCAGGCCCCTACCCCACCTCGAAACCTGATAACAAACCCCCTTGAACCGCCTGGACAATAAACAACTCAGTGCCTCCATCACCAAAATAAACAATAAAGGAGATAGAGGATCCCCTTGCCGTAATCCTCACCATGTACGAAAAAAAGCCCAACCAAGACTGATAATCGCACCGTAAAAATGCAAAACTGAATCCACTTCCTCCATCGCTCCCCAAAACCCATCCGTTGAACCACATACAACAGAAAATTCCAATTCACATTATTATAAGCTTTCTCAATATCCAGCTTGCACATAATCCCCGTCTTCTTTTGCCGAACCCACGAGTCCACACATTCATTAGCCACAAGCATAGCATCCAAAATTTGACGACCCCCCACAAACGCATTCTGAGACTTTGACACCACCCCTTCCAGGACACCCAGAAGTCTATTGGCTAGAACTTTAGCCAATAATTTGTAGGCACTATCTAAAAGACTGATTGGCCAAAACTCTCTAATATCCTCCGCCCCACCTTTCTTGGGAATCGACGCAATAAAAGTGGTATTAAGACTCTTCTCAAACTTTCTCTCCAGATAAAATTGATAAAATACGGCCATCACTTCCGCCTCCACCACCCCCCAGCATTGTTGGAAAAAGGCCATGAAAAAGGCATCCGGCCTAAGGGCTTTATCCCCGGACATATTTCTCAATGCACCCCAAACCTCCTCCTCCGCAAACGGACGCTCCAGCATCAACACCGCCTCATCTGAAATAGTATCAAAAGTAACTCCCTCCAAATCCGGACGCCACCCCCCCTTCATTCCTGAAAAGATGTTGGTAGAAACCCACGATACCATTTTGGATATCCATTTCTGAGGAAAGCAGCACCCCATTGACCCACAACCGCCCTATCTAATTCAACCGCCGGTGAGCATTTACCATCCGATGAAAAAATTTAGCATTTCGGTCCCCATTCTTCAACCACAAGCACCTGGACTTCTGGCGATAACTAATCTCCTCCATCCTAGCAATCCGCCCATAATCCTTCTACGCCCTCTCCCGACACACCACATCATCTGCCGACAAGCCCTCTCTTTCTTCCTTCTCATCCAACCCCTGCAAAATCGACAAAGTACTCGCCTTTTGTACCTCAAATTGACCAAACACCTCCTGATTCCATCGCTTCAAATTAGATTTAAGCAGCTTTAACTTTTGAGCCATCGGGGTACTAGGCAACCCCGCCACACTATAACTCTCCCACCATTCCTTTACTGTCTCGCCAAAACCGTCGGCTTATAACCACATATTCTCAAAACGAAAAGCCGTCGGGCCACGCCGTACTGCCTCATTATCCAATAGGACAGGCCAATGATCTGAAACCGGATGTTGTAAGCGAGCCTAGAACATCTGGGAAAAATGCTCCTCCCAATCCCCCGTGACCAGGAATCTATCAATACGAGACATTGCTCCACCTCCGAACCAGGTATAACCCCCTCCCTACAACGACATATCAATAAACTCCAACCTATCAATAAAAGAGGAGAATGCCCTCATCAGCCCCGTCACCTGTCTGGCCCCTGTCTTCAGGCCTTTTCCCAAAATAAACTAACCTACTAACTTATTTCCCAGACTAAGCTTAGTTTGGTCGAATTTTCCAAAATAAGCTGAAGCATGTTTTCAGCATGTTTCTGGCCCAGATGCACAAAATGAATAAAATCATAAAAGCATGGTTACAAACCACGCTTTTAATTAAGAAAATGCGGTTTCTATTAGCGTTTTCAGGCTTAAATAACAGCGCGATTTGGAAACACGCTTTTAACATATATTAAAATGTAAACAAAATGAAAGTCAAGTGGGGAAGTAGCTTAAATGGTAAAGCGCTAGTTTGCCTGCAAGAGGCACGGGGGTCGATCCCCCGCATCTCCAAACTCAAACTATTTTTCAAATTCAATTCAACTCTTCCCCCCCCTCCACTTACTCTATACTTTATATATTTATTATGTAATTTTTTTTATCAAAAAAAAGTAAAACTTTTGTTTGGTTAACTAAAAAAATTCTCTATAAAATATAATTTTTTTTAAAATGTCAACATAATTGATTAAAAAGTATTACTATTCAGGTCTAAAAGTTCATTTTCAAAACTTAGTGATGTGTCAAGAAAATTATTGGTTCAAAATTAAATATTCTTTAATTATCAAACAATTATCTTTTTGACACATCACTGAATTTATAAAGTGGGTCCAATGATGTGTCAAAAAGATAATTGTTTGATAATTAAAGAACAGGGTAAATTACATTGACACTCGATGAGGTTTATGTTTATTACAATTCCTCCATCACCTTTCAAAAATTACATCCCTCTCCCTGAGGTTAAAAGTTTCATTACAGATTACTTCCTTCAACAATTTAAATTTTTTAAATACCAATTTTGCTCTCACTGGGTAAATTACATTGACACCCCTCACATTTTAGAAATTACAATACCCTCCCCAAGGTTTAAAGTAGCATTACCAATTGC